GACTAGGGGAAGAGAGAAGGAAATAGTTGCTAGAGTCAGAGATAGGAATTAATCCATTTCAGGTTTTTCTCTTATACCTCTCCTCAAGACTTCGTTATTAAAAAATGTCAACTACAGCCAAAACCGGTTTGGCTCAGTGGATAGAGCGTCGGCCTGCGGACTGGAGGGTCCCAGGTTCGATTCCGGTCAAGGGCATGTACCTGGGTTGCGGGCACATCCCCAGTAGGAGATGTGCAGGAGGCAGCTGATTGATGTTTCTAACTCTCTATCTCTCTCCCTTCCTCTCTGTAAAAAATCAATAAAATATATATTTAAAAAAAAAATGTCAACTACAAAAAAAAAGTCAACTACAAGGCAAGAAGGTAATAAATCCTTCATAAACCAATCTAAGTTTAGATCATCAAAACCATTTCCTAGCATGAGCCTGGGAGGTACTGCAAGTTGTGAGTTTTCTTTTAAATATCGAAAGAGGCACTGGCTGGGAAACTCAGTTGGTTAGAGCATCATCCTGATGTGCTAAAGTTACAGGTTTGATCCTGGTCAGGGCATATACAAGAAACAACCAATGAATGCATAAATAAATGGAACAATACATCGATGTTTCTCTCTCTCTCTCTCTCAAATCAATATATAAATTTAAAACATATATCAAAAGAGAGGATAAGTATATCTGTTTATTATAGGCCAATGAGATTAAGGGCTTGTTCAAGGCCCATTCCAACCCTAATTAGGAACACAGGCATGAGGAATAAAGCAGGATGAACTTACCAACACAAAAAGGGCTTGATAAGAGCCCCATCAAAAAGAATGATTTGGTTGCTACATCTTGGTGGCTTTGGAAATTTACTTCATCTCTAATTTGGGTGTAAGCCCTGAAGTCTTATGATGAGAGATGCTGTTTTTAACATCTAGGCACTCTAAATAGTACCTATCACTGAGAAACCAGACACTAAAATCTGCAACTTAGAAGCAAAAGTCAACAGCTGCAAGTTAGAAGCAAAAGTCAACAACCATGCCCCATTCCAAGTTCATTCTAGAGAACTGAATTTGAAGGCAGATAAGCTTTAGAGAGTAAAGACACATATTATGATCAACCTTGACAGAAGCTGGAAATGAGGAAAATGCCAGGCAAATAGCTCCGAGAAGAATGACTTGTGAGCACACAAATGCTCAAGCTGTGATTTTTTACAGCTTTTCTAAAAAAGTTTTTATGGTGCTTTGGAAAATAAAAATGTTACTTAAGAAACAAATCCAATCATCCGTGCCCCTTCACCCATACTTTAACAATCATTCTATCAAGGAAGTCTAACAGCTCTCAGTTGTGCCAAAGTCAAAGGTTTAACTTAGAGGAAGTTTAATTTCTTATGGGAGAAAAATATCACTAAGACATTAAGATAACTAGGACTTCCCCACTGCAAATAAGGGTCATGGATCAAAGTTGTTATAGCATTTCTTATCTTTATACTAATTTAAAGTTTACAAAATGATTTCAAATACATGGCTTCATCTGCACCTCACAAGCCACTCCATTAAGGTAGGTTTTAATATTGCCAATTTTGAGGACACAGTTTAAGTGATTTGACCAAAATCACCCAGCTATTAAGTGGCTTGGCCCTAGGTCTTACAAGTTCAAATCCATTTTTATATTTCCCCAACCCTCATATTTAGCTCTCTCGCCAAAGGCTTTATTGATCTTGGAACTGCCCCAAAGACAAAGAAACACTGATATGTTGCTTTATGTTTTCAACACACGGCTGGGGGATCTTGCTCGGGGGACGGGCCATGAAGAGGAGTGTGTGGAACAGCACAGACCCAATAGCACTGAGGCTTCACTTCCTTCCCCTGGAAAATGAGATTCCTCAACATACCATTCAGTATTATTTGTAGGATCAAAGGAAATTACATGTGATAATGTTTTAAAAGCATAAAAACAAATGCTAAGACATTAAAATACATGTATTTGTCAGGAGAGTAAGATTTCATGATTCTTATCCTCAAGAAGGCTGAGCATGGAAGTTAAGCAAGTATGTAAAACAAAACAAACCTACCAAAAAACCTGACTTGTGCCCACAGTGAGCGGAATGTAATGAAAAACTGGTTGCTTGGCGGGAGAACAGGAGGTGGGGAGACACACTTGTGGTTTGTGGAGGTACCAGATACCCTAAACTCTTAGCACCTTCAGACATTTCAAGTCACTAAGGAAGGATATAGGGGCCTTGGATAAGAAACTACCGGTATATAACTGAATGGTGCTATGGGCTGAACATGAAAAGAAATAAAATAATCATAGACACATAACCACGCTCAGAACAAATTCTGGAGGGTACCATGAAAGGCTGGAGCTGAACAATCTGCTGAGCCTAGCTATCAGGCTGATCCTGGGGTCTGGCAGCTTCCTGACACTGTGGGCTGTGCCTTCATTTATACACCCTCAAAGAGTGGGTGGGAGCCTGGCTGCGGCTTGGCAGAGGCATAGATGGAAGGCTATGAAGCCAGTAACCTGGTGTTTGGGAGTTGGGAAAGAAATGGAGAGTAATGGGGCCACCAGAAGCCTTCCAGGTTTTACTTCATTCATTCACCCAGTCTGCAAATATTCATCGAGTGCTGACTTTCCCTGGCAGCGTTCTCAACACCGGCAACACAGTGATGAATGAAGACGGCAAGGTCCCTCCCTCAGGACACCACATGTTGGCGAAAAGAGTCAGACAATAAACAAATGAAAAAAGACAATGATAAATACTATGAAGAAAAAATCCAGGATATGTGACTAAGTGCCCGTGGGACCACACTGCACCTTTCTGAGAAGAGAGTATTTAAACTGAGACCTAAATGTCAAATGACAAGAAGAAACAGAGCTGGAGGAAAAGCTTTTCAGGTAGAGCACCAGCAAGTGCAAAGGCCCGGAGGTGGGAACAAGTTTAGCCTATTAAAGGAAAGACTGAATGAGGAACTGTATTTAAAGGGCCAGAAGGTTGAGAACCACTGTCTAAGGCAGTGATGGCGAACCTATGACACGCTTGTCAGAGGTGACACGCGAACTCATTTTTTTTGGTTGATTTTTCTTTGTTAAATGGCATTTAAATATATAAAATAAATATCAAAAATATAAGTCTTTGTTTTACTATGGTTGCAAATATCAAAAAATTTCTATATGTGACACGGCACCAGAGTTAAGTTAGGGTTCTTCAAAATGCTGACACGCCGAGCTCAAAAGGTTCGCCATCACTGAGTTAGGGCCTTGTAGGTCCTGGTAATAAGTCTGGATTTAATGCTCAGTAATACAGGAATTCACTGGAATGCAAAACACTGATATGTTGCTTTATGTTTTCAACACACAAGTCTGGTCTGACGGACCAGGAAACAAATCATTCTTGGAATTCTCTATTAGAATGTTCCATTTTAATAGATTTTCCATTAAAACCCAAGAGGGGTCATGGCTTAATTGGTATTAAAGTGTATACCACTAACACTTTAGCAGGAATCCTCCAGAATGAGAGAAATCTGGAAGGCCAGGAGACAGGAAAGGTAACAATAAGGAAAGTAAGCATAGCAGCCAGCTGGCTCTAATGGCCCCCAGGCTCATCTTCACACCTTCAAAATGCATCTCTATAACCTGGAGTTGACATCCTGAGGCATCTGGGGCCAGGCACATGCACCAGGTGACTTAATCCAAAGGGCTCCTGGACGGCTGCAGAGCACAGCTACCTGCTTGTGGGCTTCATCCTCTGGCTTGTGCCAAGAGGCCACCCTTTCAGCATACACAGCCATGGGCCGTCTAGGTAAGAGCAATGCAAGAACCTGAGGGATGTCAAAGGAAGAATGCCGTAAAAATCCATTTTTCTTGTCTGATCCCATGACTGCTACAACAGGGAGGAAAAAGAGGTCAGTTTGTAGTCCATGCCTCTCCAGCCTTCTGCTTGAAACTAGCCTGGCTAGCTACTGAGAGATCTGATTACGTTCTTCTCTTTTCTTTAACTACCCTTTACTGAATCATTCCTCAGTGGTTTTAGACATTTTTTACCTACATCCACCATCTAGGTCCAGCAAGCTATAATGTCACACGATAATACCTGATCAAGGCAGTTTTTGCTTCCTCTTTAGAAGGGTCCACAAATTGCCTAAAGAAATAAAAACTATCTTGGTGCCCTAGCTACAGTCTGTCTTAGTAGGGAGAGGGTAAGACTATCACAATCACTTCCAATTTTTAGGCAATCAATCAAATACCTTTAACATTTTGGGGGAAAAAAAACCCAGCCAGATCCTATCAGTTTAAGACCAAGAATCAGCAAGGGTAAACACTGGAGAAAAGGAAAACTATCAGAAGCAAAACGACCACCAGATGCTTTGAAGGAGCTGGATCTATTTGCTTTTTCAAAGACACGGATAGAGATGAGAAAAAGCGGCTTCTGTTCCTCACATCACGCTTCTCCCACCCCCGCCCCTCCCCAAACGGATGGGGAGGAGAGCAGGAAAGGAAATCTTTGGCATTCAGAAACTGCAAATTATGTTTCAAAAGCTGTTTCAATCAGAACACACTAACCATTTCTTCTTTTTTTGGACTGCTCACTTAAAAATCAGGATATGGTAGATTTAAAGGGATATTCGAATTCATGCAGTCCATTTCACTCCACTGATGAACAGTCAAGCCTGAAGGTTTTTAGGTAGTGGAAGAGCTAGAAAGGGAACTCAGGTTTCCTGACCCACATTTCCTATCAACTTTTATTATGCATTTTTATATTATAAAATTAAAGTATATTACAGGAAAATAGAAACTTGACAGGAAGTAAGTCACCCATTATCTACTCATCATACTATAACCACTACTCACATTTTGTTCCTTTTATCACATGCTTATAGGCCTTCCCCCCATATTGTTATAATCATTATTGGACTAATATGGAATTCAGGTCCTTTTCATGGAGTGTTTAAAACCAACTCTCAAGAGACCCTGGGACATAAGAATCAAGCTGGTTAACCTCAGATCAGGTCTATTTACCTACCTGGTGCATCAGGTACTTGAAGAGGAATGAAAGGATCAGATACGCTTAGAAGTGGGAGGCTAGAATCCACAGTCTGCCCACCCTTCTTTTTTTCAGCTGGAGTTGGTTGGAGGGGAAGGAAGGGTCAAGGAGAGAGAAAAAAGAGAAAAGCAGAAAATATCAAGTAAATCTAGATGAACTTACTACCTATTAACCCAACAGCTCAAATTAGAGAACAAGTCTAAACTCAGAGGTAGAAAAGGGATGAGTGGATATAATACAGTGTAACAGCAAAGTATGTATGAAATATATAATCTGGTCCTTGCAACATACTCTAAGATGTAATTAATGACAAAACTAGGATATGCACACATCTGAAATTCCACTTTTCCCTTTGTGGAAACCCACGGTGATCTTTTTCAGAATTTGTACAGCAATTACTGTCCATATTGCACATTTTGGCATGTAAACAAACATTATCTATTTTGTAATCTAGCATATATATAGGTACTTCCTATGTAACCATTACCCTCTTGAGGCTGTTGTATCACCAAATGTCTAATATAGTGCTAGGCAGACAGACAGGAGGAGACAGACTTCTTGCCTCCTGCAAGGTTAGACAACCCCTAATCTCTAGACTGCATCTTACATACTACTGGCATTGATTCTATAGTTGACAAACTTACAGATTTACAGAAATATATGCACCCTATGGGATATCAGAGTTTGAAGAGATCTTAGGATTTTCTAGCACAATTTTCTTATTTTTCAGAAAAGGAAATAAAGCCCAGAAGAAGAGATTAGCCAGAGGTGCATCAGCAGACCTAGGACCAGAACCCAGGTCTCCTTGTTTCTACTTAACCATTTTTTACGATGCATTTTAATATTCAGTTTGTGATGCCCAGCCGGGTGTGGCTCAGTGGTTGGAGCGTTGGGCTGCACACTGAAGGGTCGTGGGTTCAATTCCCAGTCAAGGGCATGTACCTGGGTTGCAGGTTCGAGCCCCAGACCCAGTTGGGGCCCATACAGGAGGCAACCAATCAGTGTGTCTCTCTCACATTGCTGTTTCTCTCTCTTTCTTTCCTTCCTTCCCTCCCTTCCAACCTCTAAAAATCAATGGAAAAAATATCCTTGAGTGAGGATTAACAAAACAAACAAAAAATACACAGCTCAGCAGAGTCTCAGGGTGATGTTCCTCAAATTTAGAAATATTTGCTTAAAACATGTCCATGGACTAGATAGAACAAATCCTATATATTACTTCCAGATCATCCTGTCATTTTAATTGAAAGTGACTCTACATCTTTCTTTATCCCTATCTTTTTTATTGGAAATCTCTGGAATAAATGAAAATATTAAGTTACCACCAGGATTTTGGGCTCATTGGTATGCTAGAGTTATCTGTGAAGTGGAAAACAGTGTGAAGGTGACAAGAGTGAGTTTGTATTTCAGGTGCTTGCCATACTAACCATTTCCAGCAGAAAACGAAGAAGAGGCAAACGCATCACTTTGGGTTGATTGAAAGCCTGGGATCAAACTCTCAGCTGAGCCTCCAAGCTTCTCAGGATGTTTGCCTGGAGGGACAAAACACCAGTCAGTTCACGCCAGCAGAATCACAGAACACATCCCCAGTGCACTTTCTGCACTGACTTCTAGACTTCATTCCTTTTTTTACTGGGTTATGGTGACACCTCAGCCATTCAGAGGTCCTTCTGTAGTCACTACAGCAGCTGAGAGAACAACTGAGAAATGGAAGGAGGTTTTAAGAATCAAAAAAGAGAGCACATCAGTTTTGCAAGAGGGAAAGAGTGGCTGCACCACAATGCAAATGTAATTAACACTACTGATCTGTACACTTAAAAATGATTAAGCCCTAGTCAGTTTGGATCAGTGGATAGAGTGTCGGCCTGTAGACTGAAGGGTCCCGGGTTCAATTCCAGTCAGGGGCACATGCCAGGGTTGCACGCTTGATCCCCAGTAGGGGGCATGCAGGAGGCAGCCAATCAATGGTTCTCTCTCATCATTGATGTTTCTATCTCTCTCTCTCGCCCTTCCTTTCTGAAATCAATAAAATACATATATATATATTTAAAATGGTTAAGATGGTAATTTCTGTTATGTACATTTTACCACAATTAAAAATAAAAATAAATAACAGCAAAAGAGATAGCTAGAGCCAAAGCCCCAAAGCCGAAGCACATCACTCAAACAGAATACCTCCAGCCCTCACTCAATCTATTTATTTATATATAGAACAACTGAAAAACTGGTCGCTGTGACGTGTGCTGACCAGGGGGCACATGTGGAACATGGCGGGCATCAGCTGTGGCAGGATGGTGAAGCAGGTGGGCGAGGGGCGCCAGACCAAGGCGGGGCGCTGGAAACTGTCATCAGGACGAGCTTCTGGTGGTTACTGAAAATCCTTTGCTCCCACGCACCATGGTCCCACCGGGTGCTCACACCTGCTGCTGGCGCCTGGCACAGGTCCTGATCGCTTGGCACGATCAGCGGGTGCAAGCAGTGGCTGCCGGCCCTGATCATCCCTTAGGGCTTCTCCACTGCTCCCTGCTCCTAAGGGGTGATCGGGGTGGCAGCCACCTCTTGCACCCGCTGCTGGCGCTGGCCCTAATCGCTCCACGCCGTCAGCAGGTGCGAGCAGCGCTGGGCTGGCACCATCAGCTCGTGCGAGCAGTGGGAGTGGGGCTACCAGCAGACAGGGGACCGGGGGCTGTGGCAGGAGGGGCCAGGCGGAAGCACGGAAGATGAGACCCGCCCCTGTGCCCACTGCAGCCTTGCGGCCCACAGTTCCTTTCAAAGTGCACGAATTCGTGCACTGGGCCCCTAGTTTTTATATAATTGTAATGAGTTTAATGATCTGTTGCAGGCAGTTTAGGAAAGCAAATGAGAAGAGGGAGTGATGGAGATGGCAGTAGTGAGAGGCTGTGAGGGACAGGCACAATGCAGCAGCTTCATGTAAAAGCCAACAGCCAAACAAGAGAGGCAGAAAAGTATTCAAAATAGACACAAGAATTAAAAAAAAACTTGGGGCCTGGCTCAGGTGGTTGGAATTGTCTTGTATACTGAAAGGTGGAGGGTTGGATTCCCGAGCAGGGCACATGCCCAGGTTGCAGGTTCGATCTCTGATTGGGGCATGTACAGAAGGCAATCAATCGATATTTCTCTCACACATCAATGTTTCTTTCTCTCTCTATCTCTCCTCCCCCGCTTCCTTGCTCTAAAATCAATTTTTAAAAACTACCACCAACAATAAAAAACTTATTTTAAAAAATTTAAAAACTTGGGCAGGTCACTTAGTTGAAAGCAAAAATACTATAGTTTTCAAGAGTCCTAAAGGTATTTCTTTTATAGTCTAGAACAATAACTGGCACACATAACAATGAAATAATTTGACAATGAATCATCAAATAAAGTTAAATCCTATGCTCTATCTTCTGTTTGAAAAGGCAAGAAAGCAATACAAATTTTAAAAAGATATCTATAAAATAACAGTTAAACTATTAGTCAAATAGTTAAAATGTTTGCTCTAAATTCTCTTGGTTCTGTTCATTCCTTTACCCTGAGATACTCTTTGAACTGTATCATACCGTAGAATTGTTGTTTTCCAAAGTGTGTGTGTGCATGTGTGTCTCCTGCCTTCCAAATTAGACTGTGGGTTTGCAAGCAGAAAGGCACCTTCTATTTATTTGATCTCCTCAGTAATATAGAACTCTGATCATAGTCAAAGATTCAGTTTCTCTATGAGGGCACTCTCTCATGGGTAAGCAGTTATAATTTTCTGGGACAATAAATCCCCTTAGGACAAGGGAACCATCATATTCCTACAAGAAATGACCATGCATGACACTCTCATCCCAATCTATGCTATCCAATCTTTCCTAAAAGTTTTCCCTTCTCCTTGCCACCACCTATAGGAGACTAGGATTTCCTGAGGATGAAGACTTCAGTGCTCCAGTAAAATACAAATTGATTTGTACTCATACTTCAAAATCACATTGTAAGGTATAAAATGTCAAATCACTATATTGTACACCTGAAACTAACATAACCAATACAAGATTGTATACCAACTATACTTGAATAAAAAAAGAAATTAAAAAAAAAATCAAACCTTTGTGGGGCCCAATCCTACATTTTTTTTTTTTAGTCCTCACCCAAGGATATTTTTTGCCACTGATTTTAGAGAGAATGGAAGGGAGGGGGAGAGCAAGAAACACTGATCAGTTGCCTCCCGCATGTGCCCTGACAGGGGCCCAAACCTACAACCCAGGTACAGTTGAATAAAAAAAGAAATTAAAAAAAAAATCAAACCTTTGTGGGGCCCAATCCTACATTTTTTTTTTTTAGTCCTCACCCAAGGATATTTTTTGCCACTGATTTTAGAGAGAATGGAAGGGAGGGGGAGAGCAAGAAACACTGATCAGTTGCCTCCCGCATGTGCCTTGACAGGGGCCCAAACCTACAACCCAGGTACATGCCCTTGACCAGGAATGAACCCAAGACCCTTCGGTCCATGGGCCAATGCTCTATCTGCTTAGCCACACCAGCCAGGGCCCCAAGTCTACATTTTTACATGTATACTCCTCTAGAATAAGGTTTCAAGAATCACAAAGACACCAATTACTCACCTTCCCCCAGCTTGGCAAAGTCCTTATTTAGCAGTTCTTCAGCTGTGAGTTTGGAGAAATTGTCATCATCAAAGGGATTCCACGTAGAACCTTCTGAAGGATTATAAACGTTTTGCTGGGAAGTCCGAGGAGAGCCTGATGGAGTGGTGGTTGCAGACCTAGGTAAGTTCCCACCCCCACGAAATAAGAAGACATATAAAAGTTGAAAAGGTTCAACCTATTTTCTCTTTGTTTCAAGAGCAAATTCTTTTCCGAATCAAACCATTATTTTCCACAGTGGTTTTCTAAAAGGGCTTTCCACGGCAACTGGACAGTCGCTATAGATCCCTTTCCACTGTGTAAAATAAGTGTTTCCATTTTCTTAATGATTCACTATCTCCCACTACTTCTTTAATCTCTTCCTTAGATTTTTGGTCTCGCCTGCAAGTCCTTTCAATTCAAGATTCCAAAGCAACCTATTGTGTAGCTTATGGTGCCCACTATAACCCACAATAATGGACCCCGGAGGGCTGGGACTGATGCCTGTTCAAGCTGCCTCCCATCTGTTGGATCTAGCATGCATACAACTATGGTCACCTATCACAGTTAAAGAGAAATAAAGACCACTATCTTGTGCTTCTAGGTACCATTACTTAATTTTATTCTAAGTCTCTCTTGATGCCCTTTGCATTTAGCTAATGAGTTAAAGATTTTTAACTTTAGAGTATATGGTTCCAAGAAAGCTGAGGGCCTGAAATTGCATTTACTCCACAAACATTCATTGCAATCTACATCTACTTTATATCAGACCCAGAGCCAGTCACTGGATTTGCAAAGGTTGGTTAAGATATAATCCTTGTCTTGGAGGAACTCTCAGGCTAAGTCAACTAGATGAGATACTCATATAGACATACAAATAAATAATGATAATACAATGGGATACGTGCACAACAAATTATAAATGACACCAGAGGAAGGTTTAAAGGAGAGGTAGCCTCTGACATTGATCATGATGAATAGATAAGTACCTCCTTGGTGGACAAGGAGGACAGTGCAGTTAAGGGAGAGGACCTAGGCCAGTGATGGCAAACCTATGACACACGTGTCAGAGGTGACACGCGAACTCATTTTTTTGGTTGATTTTTCTTTGTTAAATGGCATTTAAATATATAAAATAAATATCAAAAATATAAATCTTTGTTTTACTATGGTTGCAAATATCAAAAAATTTCTATATGTGACACGGCACCAGAGTTAAGTTAGGGTTTTTCAAAATGCTGACACGCCGAGCTCAAAAGGTTCGCCATCACTGGCCTAGGCTGAACAAAGCGTTTGTGAAGATGGAGAATGACAAGTCCACCAATGTGATGCAATAGGTCTTTGATCTGTTAACCAATGAGTTCAGATAGTATCCCACAGGCAACCTGAGGGGTGTTGGTGGGGGCGGGGGAATGAAAGATTTTCAGCATGAAAAGTTGGTCAGATCAAGAGTTTAGAAAATACTCTGTAAAAATATGGACTAGATGAGAGAATGGAAACAGTGACACAAATAGGAAATTATTTCTTAAGATCAGTATGGTTTATGCACTACAGGCAAATTCAGTTTCTTATTAAACACAGATGCATACCACTGCATATACATCTACACACAAACATATGCAAAGAATCACACAGTAACGGCCCACAGCAGACCTTGCCCACAAAGTAAAGTAAGAAGAATAAAGGAGAAGCATCACATACTTGGACTTATTGAGACTGGCCTCAGCTGCAGCTGCCTGGAGCAGCTGGGTTGATTTGCTGGCAGGGACCCCAAAGACTGCACTGTGGGTTACGTCACTGAGAATCCGCCTGTGTCCAGCACGTTGGGTCTTGGGGGATGATGGAGGAGTGAGAGATCCGAGTTTCTGTCCCTGGACGGTAGGAGGTGGGGTTGTCTGAACTGTTGGCTGTTGTCTTACTGGGGCTTGTATCTGCTGGGAAGAGAAATGAAAAATGTTCCAAAACAAAGGAAAAAACAACAAACAGATTAGCATAACAAAAAAATGCCACATGAGAGCTAACATAGAATTTAAATGGCTGAGTTTAACAATAACATCCTGAAAAAAAAATAAACACTGGGCTTTGACAACCTGAACTGCAACTTTGGGACTGATACCAATACGGTATTTATCTCCTATGTGTGTATATATATATACACACACACACATACATACTAGACACCCGGCACATGAATTCGTGCTTGGGTGGGGTCCGGCTGGCCCACCCTGATCGGGCCGGGCCGGCTGGGGGGAGGGGCCACGGTTGTTAGCCAGCCAGCCCCGCCCCCTGGTCAAATTCCTGGTCAAGGGGACAATTTGCATATTAGCCATTTATTATATAGAATATATATTACAATCTTCATCAATGACAATGTACAGGGTAACCATATGCAAATTAGCCCAAAGCATAAGACTACAGAAGCTATTCTGATTTTTAATGGCTGCAGTTGGGTTATTATTATTTTTTTTGGTTACTGAACGATTTAAAATGGCCATTCTTTCAGCCATTTTAAATAAGGCGGCCACAAACATCTATGGCATACAACTACTTTCATTTGTAGATTATTGCTTTAAGATGGCTGCAATGTATATTTTTGTTTTAATATATTTTTATTGATTTCAGAGAGGAAGGGAGAGGAAGAGAGAGATAGAAATATCAATGATGAGAGAGAATCATTGATCAGCTGCCTCCTGCATGCCCTCTACTGGGGATCAAGCCCACAACCCGGGCATGTTCCCTTATCGAAATCGAACCTGGGACCCTTCAGTCCACAGGCTGAAGCTCTATCCACTGAGCCAAACCGGCTAGGGCTGCAGTGTGTACTTTACATTCACTCACCTGCTTCTCTAGGTAAGTTCTGCCAAGAGTCATTGGGAAAGAGATGGTCAAAGCTGGGAAGCTCTCCAGCTCCTGGCACAAGCATGTTCTGCTCCTGTTCCCTCGCCACCCCCTTAACCAACTACCACTAAACAAAGCAATTTTTTTTTTTAAATCCAAGGAACATGGAGAAATTTCACAATTCATTCCCAAGAGAGTGGATACTTTTGTCTGGGGAAAGCAGAGAGAACCTCATAAGAAGTGTGGTCTGTAGGAAGTTTATCATCTCATCCCCCCAGATAAGCATCTATTATTATCATCCTGAACACAGATCAGGACTCTTTGTTCTGGTCCCAGCTCTGCTGCTATCAGTCTGTGTGTCTTAGGTAATGACCTTCTAGGCTGGGCCTCAGTTTCCAATTCCATTAAGTGAGGGGACTAGACTAGATAATTAAGATCTCAATTAGCACCCTAGCCAGTATGGCTCAGTGGATAGAGCATTGGACAAAAGGGTCTCAGGTTCGATTTCAGCCAAGGGCACATGCCTGGGTTACAGACTTGACCCCCCCCCCAGTAGGGGGCGTGCAGGAGGCAGCCAATCCATGATTCTCTCTCATCATTGATATTTCTATCTCTCTCCCTTCCTCTCTGAAATCAATAAAAAATATATATTTAAAAAAAGAAAGAAGATCTCAATTAGCTACATCATATGATAATTTTTTAAAGCCCTTTTTCATTTAACAAGAGGAACTTTATCTCTTATTAAAAATACAGAGAGTAGCTATCTACTTCACTCCTGCGGGAAGACTAGAGTTGTTTCAGAAACCAAGGTGTAAAGACACTGAACACACACTTAGCTGAGACTTAAAGAAGAAAATGTATTTACGGCACTGCTTCCTTTGGAAACAATGTAGGTTTTCTGGTTTAAGATGGGCCACAAAACTCTAGTAGAACTCAGTCCTCAAAAAGAAGGTTTCCTATCATTCGTCTAGTAGTTAGACTTCCCTGGGAATAAGACAGTAGCTGTTATATTCTATTGGCTGGGTATGTAAAATGTCTTTTTCTATCACTATAAAATTATCTATCACTATCACTCAGAAAACTGTGAGTACAAAATTAAAGGCACTTATTAAAGGCCAAAACACAATGTGTTTGAGGATGTTGAAACAGTAGAGGTCTATCAGGAGAGGATGTAGTGATTCGGATGCTATATTCAGACACTATCTAAAAGTAGACATGTTCAATTTCTATACTGACAATTGGGCTTGAACAATACTTAGATACTCTGGTGTCCAAAGGGATTAGGCCATGGCAAATGGTCCCAGGCATGCAGGCCCCCTTGAAGGGTGCTGTATGGTACACTCGATTGAGGTGGCCAATAATGTCGTCCAAGACAAAGAATAAACACAACATTGTCAGGACTCAGGGTAAATGTGGGGGTTCATATGAACCTCCAAAGACAGAAAAGGCCATAATGGCCAAACTGCCCCTTGAAGAAGGGAAAGGGACTAATTCTAATCCTACCTAGGTCCTTGGCTGCTCAACACAAGAGAAAATGAACAGCTCTTTCTGCCATCCTAATGTCAAAGTAATAAATTAAATATTCATCAGTAGCCTAGAGTTATTTTTTAAAAAACCTCTACCATTGACGGATTACCTCATCCTGTTATTGACTATATCAAGAAAAGATCAAATATTTTAACCACAAGGGTAGGGAATCAGCCTAGTTCTAGGCCAGAGGCCAACACCCAGCTGCTACAGCCTGTTTCCCAAGCCCTCACTGCATTCTCCTCTTCCTTTGCTCTCTGAGCCATGGCTGATTCTTACCATTGGCTCCTGGGCAGGGGACTGCTGTGGGGCTGCGGCTGGCTGAGCCTGGGGCTGCTGTCCGGCTGCTACAGCAGGCTTCTGCTGCACAGCAGCCTGCTGAGTCAGCAGCTGCTGCTGATGCAGGTTTGTGGCCTGCTGCTGCTGCTGCTGGTAAAAGTTCTGTATCAGCTGCTGTTGAGAGCTTCCTTGGGACACCACAGGGAACTGGGCAATTGCTGGTTGCTGGGTTGCTGGGTGTACTGCCTGAAACTAAGCAGGAGAAAGGAGCAAGAAATGAGGAGGTGAATAAAAACCTGTCACAGTAACAACTAAGACCAGTGATGAAGCCAAAGGCAAAGGAAGGCAGAAGTCTTGTAACTTGGCCTAAAACTCCTGAGTGGAACCTGAAGACATTAAAACAAACAGAGCAGCACCTTACACTGCCAGGCTCCATCCACTACACTATGCTGCCTCCTGTACTGCAGACCAGCTCCCATGTGGGCTTCTATGCCACGCTTGAGGGTGTCCATCTCACTACACATCTGTGACTCCATACATGGGAGTGTAACAGAAGCTAATAAATGATCTCCCAATCACAGAAGTAATTCTCCTCTTAAAGAGATATGGAAGTAGCCAAGATTAAAATTCTTCCCTAGATGAACAGGATGAAGCAATGACGGCACTGAAAATAAAACAAACAAAAAAAAACCCTAAATGTTAACCCAACTATTAAGGTCATCTCTTTCTGAAAATTATTTCCCACTAGCTCTATCTTTACTAACTCTCCAACTTTAAACATTCAAAATATTCAGATTACATTTAATGACATTTTATTATATATTGGTAATGAATTGTGTCAAGTTATATTCTCTTATAAAGCATCCAAAAAATAGAGAAACTTCTTTTCTTTCTTTCTCCTACCCACTAAGGACTATGTGCTAGGCCAGCCGTGGGCAAACTACGGCCCGGGGGCCGGATCCGGCCCGTTTGAAATGAATAAAACTAAAAAAAAAAAAGACCGTACCCTTTTATGTAATGATGTTTACTTTGAATTTATATTAGTTCACACAAACACTCCATCCATGCTTTTGTTCCGGCCCTCCGGTCCAGTTTAAGAACCCATTGTGGCCCTCGAGTCAAAAAGTTTGCCCACCCCTGTGCTAGGCACACAAATAGAGCTCAAACAAGGGCCTACTGATGAACAAAACTCCAAGATCTTGTCTCTTAACATCCTAAATAGCTTTACTTCATTATAGAGCTAATTGACAGGATATTGTTTGCCTAATGAGGTAAAGTTAAAGGGTTAGCAAAGAAGCAGATGTCAGTAAATAGTTGCCTATTTATAACCGTGAAATGCTGGAAACAACCAAATGTCTATCAACAGGGGACTGATTGAATAAACTATCCTATATACCCAACTCTCTAGTTGTAAATAGGAATGAGGACTACCTCTATATATGGGATGGAAGAGACAGAATTTTGCGGATTTAACTTTGAAACTATGTAAATATTTTACATGTTTGCAAAACAAAATTAAAACAAAATTTAAAAGTCAATAACTAAAAATCAAAAGCAAAATGAAGCAAAGAAACCTATGTGTCAAATTAATAGCCAAACTCCCCAGAAAATAATATGCTAAACATTCTAAGGGTAAAGAGGGCAAAGAAATCTTAAACTATTTTCAGTAATCCTATTAGTATTGTTATCTTGAAACTATAAACAAATAAGTAATTATGTTAATGTTATTAGGAATCAAGACTTCAATTAGAAAAAAAATATATATATATATAAAAGCTTAATATGCTAATTGTCCCTCCAACCGTTCAACCAGTTGCTATGACAGTGCACGGACCACCAGGGGGCAGATGCCCCAACCAGTAGGTTAGCTTGCTGCTAGGGTCAGGCCGATCAGGACTGGGCCAGACTGGCCGGATACGCCAACCTCCCACAGTCCCTCCACGGCTTCTAAAATATTTCTTCTAATTAATTTGCTTTCAATGTGCACAAATCTGTGCACCGGACCTCTAGGACAAATATAAAATCTAAGAAGTTAAACAAAAATCCTGTAATTATACATCTGAATTAGGAATATAAATTTGAATTCATGGTATATATTCTATTAAGAAAACAAAATTTATTTCCTAACTACTGTCCATTGAAAAGGTCTAAAAACAATAACTAACCCATTAGCAAATGAGTATCCCTAGCACCAAAAATGTGGTCTCTAAAGACCATTTCCATGAAAAGGAAATGAAGCTCCTTAGAGAAATGGCTGATTTCAGGTAGAATGAGCCTGGAACAGCTTGTTACAATGAATAACAAGGAAACCATAAAGACTACTGGAGTCCCAGCCGAAGGATCTAGGAGCCAATTTGAAGACTTTCACTGGACAAAGTTGGGATGCTTTGAGCATCAAAATAAACAAAATTTTAAAAACTACAATGTATGGACACATATCAAATATGTTAAGATCCACAAGTTCCTAATGATACTAAAACAAAAACCTCATTATTCACCTTTGGATGATACTAAGAACAAACTCATTCTGAAACTGGTAAAAATAGGAAAAGAATCATAAATTTTTCTGCCTTTTCTTAGGGTAATAAAATAGTTGATGAAAAGAATTCTTTATAGATAAATTCCAACCCTTTAATGAAGAGGAAATGCTAGAATATTACCATTTTGCCATCCCTAATGAATTAATAGACTTAGGAAATGATTAGCAATGACGGCTAAGCTGATGGGGAACATCAAATGAATGGATCAAATGGACAACACCAAACCCACTTATTAATCTTAATATTATTAAAAGAGAGGACAACCAGACATTATATGCCCCTGATGTGATATAACCAGAAAAACAAAGAACAATCAAACTGAATGGAATACTGAGCAAGCCTCAGGAAATTACCAGTTTACACAGGGGATGGAGAAACATATTAAACATCACCACAGGGATGCCATCAACCAAATCCAGAATGTGGAAAATTCTACAGGACAAGTGACCCAGTTTCTTAAAAAAAAAAAAAAAGACAAAAGGGGGTAAAAAGAGGGAGAGGGTACCTATGGTTAAAAAGGGACTTAAAAGATGAAAGATATAGTACTCATTATAAAATGACTATGTTCGAAGTAAAATATGTGAAAAATATAAGAAAATATAATGAAAAAAAAAATCACACTAAATACAATATGTGGACTTTGGATCCTGATTCAAACAAGCCAACTTTAATTATGAGACATGATAAAGGGCTAAACACTTCTGGATATTTGATAAGAAATTATTGTATTTTGTTTCAGTATGATAATGGTCTTGTAGTTATGTGTGAGAGAGAGGGAAAAAAAGAGTTCTTAAAAATTAGCTCCCTTCCTGAAGTTCCTCCGTCAGGGGAAGAAGTCCCAAGGCCTGAGAAGTAAGGTGAAAGGGGCAGAGTGATCCTGTGATTGCTCCACTCTGCAGTGCTTTACAGTATTTACATCTGGGAGAAGCAGTGATGAGGTCATTAATGGATCAGTCTTCCCAAGGCAGATTTCTGTACCAGTGATGAGGTCATTAATGGATCAGTCTTCCCAAGGCTTCCCAAGGCAGATTTCTGTACCTAGAACAGCGGTTCTCAACCTGTGGGTCGCGACCCCTTTGGAGGTCGAATGACCCTTTCACAGGGGTTGCCTAAGACCATCGGAAAACACATATATAATTACATATTGTTTTTGTGATTAATCACTATGCTTTAATTATGTTCAATTTGTAACAATGAAATTGGGGGTCACCACAACATGAGGAACTGTATTAAAGGGTCACGGCATTAGGAAGGTTGAGAACCACTGACCTAGAGGGTCTTTTCACAGTGAATGACTGGGATATGCAATGCAAAGGTCACACTCTGACCACCTTACCTGTTGAGCCTGTGTCTGTGGCGGCTGCTGCTGCTGGTAAAATGTGCCTGCTGGCTGCTGTGATGGTGGTGGTGGCTGTTGTTGCTGCTGCTGCTGCTGCTGCTGCTGTTGCTGCTTGAGGAAGAGTTGCTGCTGGTGCTGGGGTGTGGCCTGGGCCTGAGAGGGCAGACCCTGGGCAGGAGTGGAAGGCGTCTGTTGTGGGGTGGGTGGAGCCTGAGGCTGCTTGGGCTGGGACTGTGGTAGAGGTTGGCTGGGTGGGGGCTGAGTTTTTGATTGGGGAACACTGGCTAAAAGACCAGGCTGATTGCTGGGTCCTGCAATGAGAATAAATCCCATGTAAGAGCTCAACACTATTCAAAAACGATTTCCCTTCTTGCCAACATAAGAAAGAGGGGGTGATAAGTGGACAGATAATCCCCAAATCCATGTGCTCCTCACTGTCTTTGCACCTGGAATGTCCTTCCTTCTTGCTAATCTATGCACTTTTTAAAAAATATATATTTTTATTGATTTCAGAGAGGAAGGGAAAGGGAGAGAGGTGGAAACATCAATGATGAAAGAGAATCACTGATTAGCTGTCTTCTCCATGCCCCACACTGGGGATAGAGCTCACAGCCCGGGCATGTGCCCTGACCAGGAATTGACCGTGACCTCCTGGTTCATAGGTCGACGCTCAACCACTGAGCTATGCTGGCTGGGCTGCACTTCATATTTTTCAAAACAAGGTTCAACAAACAATTCTATATTTGCCTCCTTCAAAAAGCTTTCCTTTATTCACCAACCCATTTAGTCAATTACTCCTTTAGTCAGTATCTTGATTATCTACAAATTCAACTAGCCTTTGATGCTAATGTATATACATACAATCTTTGTACTTGTTGGCATTCTGCAGAATAAAAGCATTCTTTGATGTTTTATATGTAGGTTGCACAATTCCAGTCTGGATGCCTTGTAAGTAAATGGCTACCAAATTTACCAAAAACAGCTTCCTGGTAAGGGAAGTGATGGCTGAGTTCAGTTACTTGATAATTTGGATCAATCCTCTTTATGAAACAAAACTTAGTCACCTCACCAGAAAGAGAATACCAAAGCACAGAGTGGTAACAGATACTTCAAGAGACAGAATTAAAGAAATAATTTCTCTATGTCAAAAAGAGGTGTGTCTTGGTGTTTAGAGGCAAAGAAAAGTATATGAAATAAAGAGGTAGGTCTGGGATGAATGGACCAGGGCACAAAATTAGGGCCAAGACTAGAAAAAAACAGAGACAACAGGCTGCGGTGGTCTTGGTGATCTCCTGCAGAATGCAATGACAGGCCTCCCCTTTCACCAGCCTCCTGCCATATAATTTCAATGGCAGCTTACCTCTTGGTCCTTAAAGAAAACCATTCTTCTTTTTGTAATCCTCATGTGAGGATATGTTTTTTAATTGATCTTTAGAGAGAAAGGAAGACAGAGTGGGAAAGAGAGGGAGAGAGATAACGATAGGTTGCTTTCTGTATGTGCCAGAGAGAGAGAGAGAGAGAGAGAGAGAGAGATAACGATAGGTTGCTTTCTGTACGTGCACCGACCAGGGCTCAAACCCTCAACCTAGGTATGTACCCTGAACGGGAATCAAACCTGCAACCTTTGGGTTGGCGCTCCAACCAACTGAACCACCTGGCCAGGGCAGAATACTATTGTTCTTTATGTAGCTCTGTATTCCATTCCTGAAGCAAAATTAAGCTTTCCAAGACTTCTCATTATCCAGGATAACAAAGAGGTGTACCAACTTTCAAAGCTCCTAGGAACTGACCTGCAGCCTGAGGTGGGGGCTGAACCGTGGCCCTCTTTCGAGGTGTCAGGGCTGGCTGGATGGGAAGGATTCCTGGGTTTGGCTGGGTCTGCCCAGCTTTAGGCCTCTGGCGGGGTGCAATGGAAGTCTCTGTGGTGGGAATGGGATCTGTCAGTCTAGAAGAGGAAAAGGAAAAACAAAGATTCATATTAATGTGTGAGAAAATAGGGGAGGGGCAGAGTACATGATGGATTAGCTTTGTTCTCCACACTCATCCAAACCTTCTAGATTTGCTTAATCAACATTTCCCAGCAGGCATTCTGTGTTACTAGATGTTATAAATAAAGGTTTCATGGGAAAATGTTTTAATATTTCAGCAGAACCTTTCATGTGTATAGAGACCCTTAAAGAAAGCACTGTATAGAATGCAGTGTTTCTCAAATCTATTTGACCTTGTGGCCCTTCTACCTAACATTTCCTAGAATTTCCCAGAATACACTTTGGGTGATGATGCAAAGAGGGGTTTGAAGCAGGTTGTTTTCAGATGTAGAGGGAACTCAAACTTGGTTAGAACTAGCTGTCAAAATGGTCTTTCTACTATAAAAAGTATGCAAATAAATTAATCCAATAAGGCAATTAAAAGAAATAAGTAAATAAATCAAGTTGAAGTATTTTGGGGAGTGTGACAGGAACTCCATTTCCTCCAATACACATATTTGTTTTTTCCCATGGTAATACAATATTTACCTCGGCATAGAGTCACCTATAGTAAAAACCAAATTGCCCAGTCTCTCTTATAATCAGGTGTGGCCATGTGTCTAAGTTCTGGCCTTACGTGTTATATACACAGATTGTTATGTGGCAGTTGCTAGAAACCTTAAGAAATAACTGGTACATGCCCTTTGTCTCTCTTCTTCTTTGGTCATTCCTTGATCCTGCTGCTTGGAACAGGGATGCTGCCACATTGGTCCATGAGGTCATGGCCACAGCCTGAGGGATGGTAGAGTGGTGAGCATGAAGAAGCCCGGGCACCTGAGGACTTTGTGGAGCAGAACTACACTATCATCCCTGCACTACTTACCCCAGACTCTATTTACTTAAAGAAAAAAATAAACATCTATCTTACAGAAGCCACTGTAATTTTGGAGTTTCTTTAAGTCAGAGCCAAATCTATCCAAATTAATATGGGGAGGACTGCTGTATGGTCTGCCTTTTCTTGTGATGGTGCTAAACCCCAGGTGGTGACTTCCATTCATTAGAGCGGTCCAGGGAGCCGGCCCACTCAGATCAGAGTGGTTGTCCTTTGAAAATGTACTTTAGGGAATATAGCTGACTGAGGTTAAGGCCAAAATAAACAAGCTTCGTGGATATTTCCAAAATATGCCTGGCACAGCCTCCATGAAATGCAAAACAGCAAGCAAAGCGACTGGCCCCATGTCCTTCCCTGTGACATACCTCCAAGGTATTCCATTCTGGACCCGTGGCTTTTCACTAGTATCCTGCTAGAGAATGATTTTCAACCTTTTTCATCCATGGCACACGTAAACCAATTATTAAAATTCTGTGGCACACCCAGAAATATATTATGTTTTTGGCCGATCTGACTAAAAAATAGGTATAATTTTGATTCATTTATACCAGAAGGCTATTGTTGTGTTGGCTGTTGTCATTTTTTTCACTTGACAATCTAAGGCAAAAGAGTCAGTACCCCTGACTAAATACAGTGGGACCTTGACTTACGAGTGTCCCGACTAACGGGTTTTTTGAGATACCAGCTGTCTCTCTGCCGATTTTTTGCATTGAGTTGATAGAGTAATTTGAGTTAACGAGCTCCTTAACGAGCTCGGTCTCGGAACGAATTAAACTCGTAAGTCAAGGCCCCACTGTAGTCAGGTATTGCATGTTTTTAAAATTCTTGCAGTACAATGGTTGAAAATCACTGTGCTAGAAAGAAGCTCTTATGCTGGGGAGAGAACTGATAATATAAAAGCGCTCACATTTGGGGAGGCTATAACCTGGGGAAGGGAGGTGGATAGGGAAATGGGACAGATGTTGAGAAAGGTGTAAGAAAGATAAAGCCAAGGGTCAGAACTTAAACAGACTTGAGTAGAAAAACAAATATTAAAAACTCCCACAGTGGACTTCTCCTAAGGGTAATAATATCTTAGAGACACTAGGATTTAGAATCAAAGAAAACTATATTTGAGCACTAGCTCCCTACCTACCAACTGCATAACAATGAGCATATCATTTAACCTCTTTTAGCCTTGGGTCCCTTATATGTAAAATTGAGAAAAAAATACCTACATCATGAGGCGGATGTGAACACTACATCAGAGGCGGATGTGAACATCAAATGCAACAAAGACTGTGAAACCATTTTTTGAAATGCAGAATGTTTGAACTATCAGTTTGAACAGGTCTCAATATGCTGTGAAAAAATACAGACTGAGAAACCAGGAGACCCGACTCTAAGTTGTCCTCTTTGTGTAATCTTGGGCAAATCACTTAAGGTACAGAGTATAGAGTGTGGATGCTGGAGGTCTGGTTCTTTTACTAACCCCATAGTGATTAACTGCCTTGGGCAACTTAAAATTCTGAGTCTGTTTCCTCATCTATAAAGTGATAATAACAACAACCTCATAAATTTGTTTAAAACGGGGTGGGGAAAGCCATCTTATTTATGTAAAGTACCTAGTAAGGTATTTGGTATATAAGATGGCTCAATGAATAGTGGCCACTTTAAAAAGAGAAAGAAAAACTGCACCTGTTAGGATTGGGGAGTAAATACAAAAATGAAATCACTGTAAATTATAGATAGGATGACTTAGACCCAAATCTCTTGGCTGTCATGTCTGTGTATTCTCACAGCATTATTGAGGTCCATAGAAATTAACAGTTTGGGCACTCTACAGTTTATAAAACAGCTGCACAGCCATTTATGCATTTGATGTTCACATCTGCCTTATGACATAGGTACTATTTTATCCATTTTCACAACAGAGTACCACTCAAATGTTAATCGTTGTTATCCTTTTTACAAATGTGTGTACTTTGTGGGAAGAGATCCTTGCTTAGCCTCAGTACATACCATGTTTGGATCTAGTACAGAAGGCCATAAACCCAAATATTAAGCTATTAAATTAGTCCCAGAAGCAATTCCCAGAGGTGAGCATGGCAGACTTAAGCAAGAAATAAACAGACTGCAAAGTAACAATCTGAATATAGTTTGCTAAATTTGTTAAAAACCAAAGTCTCATTACTTTAGAGCCACATCTGCAGGCATTCTATAAACATTCAAGAATTTTTTTTTTAATGTAGAAGTTATTTTACTGTTCTATAAAAATTCACATATTCCCATCTAAGGTATTTTGTTGATAATTTGCTGCTTAACGTTTCCTTGCCATGGGAGTGTGGTAGGAGAAAAAAGGGTATAAACATCTCTGGGGCTACCCTTAGAATTTGCCATTGGGAAGGCAAAGCAGTCATGAGGATGTGTACTGCAGACCTTCATATACAAGGGGTATGAAAGACCAAGCACTCCAGCTGCTGTGCTCCGAAATCCACTGCTACTGCTGTGTTTGCCCTGAGGCCATGCTTCCCATAGGCGGCCCCCAGTCTTACTATCCCAGCCACAGGGATATTAAGGCAGACCAGGTCGTAGGACGTAGGAGACTCCTCTGGTAGCTGACTTTGACCAAGGATTCCCCTTTGGCAAATGTTCCTTAAATTGTGTGGCAATTTTTAGGTCACTTCCACCCAACTTTCTCCTCCCTCTCTCTAGGTCAGACTTACATCACCTTCTGATGGCTCTCCCAACCTTCCCTGGCTCCCTCCCTATTTTCTCTCTCAGGCATTTCCCCAAATAAAATACTAGCTTCTGTAGTCCTCTCTTATCATCTGTGTCTTGGAACATTCTAGGTTACACAGGATGTGATTAAGATCCACAGGCTCTTTGGCTGTTTCATGGACTCAGTGCTTTGACCTGTACTTCCTTAATGTGGCCAGGGCCTTAGTGAGTAAAAAGGAAAGGGAGGTAGAGGATTAGGGTGCTGAAGGAGGCTAAACAAAGGCCAGGACACTCTTGTACTAGCAATATTTAAAGTCTGCTGTTGCCTCATCTCTGAATGCTCCTGTGCCTAATCCCAAGCAAGGGAAACAGCTGTGGAATTTTTTATTCTCTTTCAAATGTAGATCATTGTATTTCATTAGATTCCTCCTTGCATTCCCAAAGGATAGCTTCTGCCTATAGGAGATACAGCTTGCTTTCTTGTGCTGGGCAGCCTCTTAGCCATGGCAGTAGAAGAATCAAGAAATACAAGGCACCCTCCCTCCCCTGCTACTGAGGCAACAGAGCACAACAGGTACTCACTGAGGCATTTCTTACCTGGCCTTTGGCTGGGTCTTCTTTGCAGCTGCCTCGCTGGCTTTCACTGGCTCAGGAAGTTTTGTAGGAATGGGAGAGTTCTATAGAATGAAAGAAAAAATTTAAAAAGAACATCACAGATTTCTTTGTAGAAGAATGATCACCATGATTGGGCTGATGAAAATATGTGTTGGGTTTTTCCAGAGTGGCTTCTAGACCCTGATCTCTGGTAGAGCATATCCCACTGGACTCAGCCCCAGTCAGAGGGACAAAGTATCTGAGAAGAGGACAGAGCAACCCCCCTGCGGCACATTCCCCTGCCATAATTCTCAACCTTTTGTATGGTAAGGTCACTGGGGTTTGATGTCAGTACCCTTCTCTCCCTAAAGCACAGCTTAGAAATGAGGTTATGATAGGAATGAAAAGAGATGTCTGTAACCTATATTACTTAAAAAAATTTTTTTAAATATTTTTATTGATTTCAGAGAGGAAGGGGAGAAGGAGAGAGAGATAGAAACATCAATAATGAGAGAGAATCATTGATTGGCTGCATCCTGCATGCCCCACACTGGGGATTTGCCCATAACCTGGGTATGTGCCCTGACTGGGAATCAAACTGTGACTTCCTGGTCAATGCTCAACCACTGAGCCACACCGCCCGGGCTTTATTACTATTTAAGTTCTCAGCTAGATATTAGAGAAGTCAGAGCTGACTAGTGTGCCCAACCTTCTAGTCAGAATGCTGGGAGAAAACCACAGCCAGTGTGTCTAGTTGCTGAGCCAGCACCTCTTTCCAGCACATGAGACACTACTCAGTCCACAAGCCACGCTGACTGAGCTCCTTGAGCTTGGATTCGGCACCATCCATCCATTACCGTCTCTCCAGGGAGCACTAGCTGTCTCTAACCACAAGACCACTGTTTACCACTGCTGAGCAAGCATCAAATGACTTGAGACTTGTGAAGCTGACTTATTAAAAACTGGTTACCAATCTGAATGCTTCCAATTATATTTCATATTATTTAACTTTATGAATGGGAAAATGGGATAGTGAAAGAAAACACGGTCATGTTAGATTACTGTACAGTATCCCCTGTTCTGGGAAACATGACAAACAAAATACTAGTAATAAAACTGGCTTTTTAAAAAAATATATTTTAATATATTTTATTGATTTTTTACAGAGAGGGAGAGGGATAGAGAGTTATAAACATCGATGAGAGAGAAACATCGATCAGCTGCCTCCTGCACACTCCCTACTGGGGATGTGCCCGCAACCAAGGTACATGACCTTGACCGGAATCGAACCTGGGACCTCTCAGTCCGCAGGCCGACACTCCATCCACTGAGCCAAACCGGTCAGGGCTGAAACTGGCTTTTAAGAGGATGTCTCATTCCCTTCACATTTTTAGGTGGGGGCAATTTCTGCAGAAAATGTCTCCTAGATTCTTTTTCACCCACCAAGTGTTCCTTTCCCAAGGGAGAAGGTGTAACTTATTTTACTGATAAGACTAGAAGAAAAAGGTGAGCTTGTTTGGTTCCTTATGCTCTCCCTCCTTTAGGGAAGAGCCTCTCTCTCAGGAATCAGGTGCTCACTGCTCAGTCATGAGGCTCTAATGTTAGGGAACTGGCCAAGCTATGTTCTCTGACTCAATCTTATTAGTGATAAAGCCAATATTCTGAGCTCCATCTGAATGACTTCCACATCTGATCCAAATGTGGGAGTGAAAGTGGAATGTTATTTATCAGCTCCCAAAATGACATCAGAAGTTCATTACTGGAGAAGCAGGCAAGACAATTTCAGATCAGAACTTGAGACGGCATCCATTAGTACAATATTCAAGAAAGTTGGATGGTACTATGACCAGAAAAATATGCCAAGACTGTAAAAAGGGTGTTTTCAAAAACTGTATTCTGATACTGAGAATGCAGAGTTTAGGATTAAAAGTGTAAAAAACATTCTGATGTGTGTGGGGAGGGTAGAGGAAAAGGAGTGTGAGTCACAGATGGCCAACAGCAGAAGCAAAATCAAGAAAGTTCTGCTGCAGTGAAGGAGAAAAGGGACAAGGGGCTTTGGTTCCAATTGGTGTGGGGCACATCCAGGCCTTGTCTCAGGAAAGCAGCTGCCTAACCATCTCTAGGTAAATACAATAAGCTCTTAGTGAACTGTGAAAATCAGCAAGACCATAGTTTAGTCAATCTTTACCCAAAGTGTTCAACTCGATCCCTAGGGTTTTTTGTTTTTCCCCAGTGTAATTACCTCAGTTTTAGAATTAAATTCTATGGGAAAAGTGGATTCTGTTTTATAGCAATTACTTCCTAGCAATTTGCTTGAATGAGCCCTACTAGATAAAGCAAGGGACATCTATATTCACTAAACAGCTGATTAACACCCCAAGAATTCTAGATGACAATTAATTATGTTTACGTCCCCTAAAAAGCACCTTTCACATACCTGAACATTTGGAATTGGGCATTCTTTCTTGAGTAGTTTAAATGAGAAGTAGGAGACCTGGTAAATATCCGGCCTTTTGTCAGGGTCTGGTTCCAACATATACCCTAAGAAAAACAAATGTTACCTCATTTAATAATATCCTAACAGTTATTACATTAGCTAGGAAGCAATTTTTTTTCCTCATAAAAGTCCAATTTGTCCTTTTCCTCCCTTCTCAGAAAGGGAAACTCTCATTTTCCTAAAATTTTAAATATCTACAAATAAATAACAAAGTTTTAAAATTGTAACAAAGATACTTGAAGTTCACTGTGCTCTGCACAATCGGGACTCAAATTCTCAATATGAAAGTTACTACCTTCATATTCTGGGACCTAGGAAGTTACATGGTCTTGCTTCTGGCCTCCTTAGTTCATATGATCTTGTTAAACAAGTGATTATTCTTAATAATTATAACCGAAACTTACATTTCATAAACTTATTATTTTGTTGTTGTTGTTGTTGATCTAAGCTAGTTTTAAGGCTAAAAGAAATCACAAAATAACAAATGCATCTCTACTTTTAAAACTTGTCTGTTTTTAGCTGCCCTTTCAGAAAATGGAAAAATCCTCAGGGAAAAAAATCTTTAAGACACACAAACACACACTCACATATACAGTATATACAAACAATAATGCAAGGCCATTTATTGCTTAAGAAATCAAATGAATGGTTTAGACAGTAAGTTCAGAAAAAAATTGATCAGGCTACAGTCTTGTGAAGGGCTTGCAGACGAGGCAGGACTTGAGCTGGTCCTTGAAGGCAGGGAAGAATTTAGTCAGTCAGGGTAAAGCAGAGAAAAAGACATTACAGATGAGAGAATAGTCTGAGCAAAGATGAACTTGGAGAAAGTAAAAAAAAATAAAAAAAAAAATGCCTTGCTATAAGGAAATAGAGGAGCCAGAAGGCCAGGGCATAGATTTTCTTGTCAGAGTATAGAGAAATAAGGCTGGGTGGGTGGGATGGAACCAGAGTATGAAGGATTCTAAATGCCATACTAAGAGTATGAGCCCTACTGTGGCCATGAAGTTACTGAATAGGCACATGATAGGGTGGTATTTTACAAGATTAATCTTGTGGTGAAGGTGTGTTGGATTGACTGAAGAAAGAGGGGGAGGCTATGGACAATCCACTACTAAAGGCATGAGCTGACAGAGCCTGTACTGTATATAGAGTGGAACCTCGGTTCGCAAACTTAATTCACTCCCCAAGGCTGTTCAAGAAGCGATTTGTTCGAAAACCAAATCATTTTTTCCCATTAGAAAAATGTAAACTGAATTAATCTGTTCCAGACCCCTAAATGATTCCCTGTCTTAACCTTTTTTAAAACATATATACTAGTAGTACATGTCTAATGTACCGTTTAATCTATAAACAAACATTTCTTTTCTTAAATTTATCAAACCACCCCTACCAGCCTTAAATGAATCACTTTCGGCATTCATTTCATGGGTGCAGCCTCTCTGCTTTTTCACATCTCATTGCCTCGGAAATGCTGTCAATGAAATACAGTCACCAGCTAACTGCTTCTTGTTTATCCAAATCAACAACAGTTTTTCTACCTCTTCAACTGTCTGTGATCTTTGTTTTGTGAGCAGTTTCACACCTTTAGCAACATCAGCATTGGGATGGCCTCTTTATGCTTTAAAATTGTGCTAATCATCTATTTCACCAGCAACAAAAGCAAAACACACACACACACACACACACACACACACACACAATATTCACAGCACAATTTCCTGAGATGTTTAACAATGCAAGGTTTAGTGGTTTAGAAATAAACTGACTCACATTCTCTCCTTTGTTTGTGGCCTGAGAGGTGCTTTTTGTCATGCAGATGTACGTATCAGCACGAAAGGGTTGTCAGGTAGAAAACTGAAGTTTTGTTCAAAAACGAGGACATTTTTTCCATGAACAACTTGGTCAAAAACCAGAATTGTTCGAGATGGGAGATGTTCGAGAACTGAGGATTACCGTGCTATCATTTCAGTAATGAGAATGGAGAGAACAAAATGATGATGGGAAACGTCAAAGAAAGAACCTAATGCCATTTAGGAAATACTCCCTCTCTCTGAGTAGGCAAATCCAAAGAGAACCTTAAATTTCAGTCACCTAGGCTTTAGTGGCGATGCCATTAATAGAAATTAAAAAGAGAGGGGAACCTTGAATTGGTAGTAAAAGGGGGTGGGGAAATGGCAATAAATTTAATTTAGACCTATCAGTTTAGGGTGACAAAAGAATCATCAAAAAGATTGTAAACTGAAATAAATCAGAGTTTAGTAAAGATGTCATTCATAGAGTTGTTTTTCCTAATATGAATTTTCTGCATAAACGTTAAAAAGAAAAAAAATGAGTTACAAAAAAATCCAATCATTCTAGCATCAAATTGGGACATTTTCTCATATTTCCTTCCAATCTCATTTAAATTAGCTGCAATTCTACAACAGATATAACACTTTACCTCTGAAAACAATCCAATAACCATTCCATTCCTTTAAATACCCTCCCTCACTTTTTTGTCAATAAATGGAAGAGGTTGATTGATAAAATTGGCATAATGGAATGGGTAGTCACTTAAAAACTATAACTATGTTAACTTGGATAAATTACCTATACTTTCCTCATTTGCATAAAATGGAGATAATTACATTTACTGTATAAGGTTTTAAGAATTAAATGAAGTATAAACTATGTAAAAGTAGGCCCTCAAAAAATGTCAGATGCTTCGCCCACATTGGCTTCTATTTTCTTCAGAGCATCCCCATTTAGGACCCAAACTGGGTTGCTCAGGATTTATAATCCATAATGGTTAAAATTTAGATGCTACATGTGTTCACTGATATAAAAAGATAATAAAAATAACCTGTTTCTTTAGCTTTTCAGTACAGGGGCTTATGCAAAGATTACCTGGTCTACCATCTGGTTAATGAACATTAGTACATATGCTTACTCTGACGATGCAAAAAAGTGGGGAATTTAAAAAACATTTAAAGCACTGAGTTTAAATACTTGTTATCAAAATCCAGTGATTAACCTAAATGAGAGGAAAAACCTAGTTCCATAGAGTTATAAAGTCTTAATTATATATTCACTCCAGCCAATGCACTGCAATCATTATTTGAATTGCTTCCAGTTTTGCAAAGATGAATTTCTCATCACTTGATGAGTCAGCTGGACTCCTTTGGTACCAGGGCCTATAAAACAGACTACAAGAGAACAGAGCAGTACTATATTGCTCAAAGTACAGTTAGGATTTCTGCTCAGGTGGCTGGCTTAGGTGTAAAACAGAGTGTAGATTTCTAGCAAAAAAACAACAAACCACCACTCTCACTGGTTACTGTTATATTATGTTTGAGTGACCAACCATTATCAACTAACTTCTTTATCTTTGCATCCAACCCACCAGTCCCTTTACCCTTCAATTCATTCCTAGAGCTTAGCGATAAAAATATAAAACTAGAAACTTGAATACTTACTAATTAAGCAGTGCATGTCTTGGGAATATCGAGAGTTATCAGGAATTGTGAAGTTTCCATCACATATTGCCACTTGACTCTCCCCAAATGGCAAAGTGAAGTAGCATAATTTATATAATAAACATCCAAGAGCCTAAAAAAAAAATAAAGAAAGCAGATTGCTACTAGTGGTGTATTTACCATAACTACAAATGGGTCTACTGAGAGATACATTTACTAGCAGATATAAAAATTATGTACTATTAACCTATTAATAATTTGAATTAGAGCCCAACACCATTATTAAGCTGCTGAGTTACATTATTTCTACTATCATTACCAAACTGAGCTCTAATAAAGAACAAGTATTTCAGTTGTTTTGCTCTTAGAACTAGTATCACATATGTGACAACCATCTAAATAATGGGCAGGTCACCTGAATAATTCTCACAGAGCTCTAAAGTCATTTTCTTTCACATGCTTAAAGAAGCAATGGTTGGTCACCTCGGGTTAAGAATAACCTCGAGAGATAAGTAGACAACAAGTTGGCACAGTGGCCACCCTTGCTATGGCAGTCTGGATTACACTTGGGAGATTACAGTCAAGACTGCTGATATCTGAGATGTGAATAGGTTAGTTGACACCTACCCAAATGTCTGCCTTCGTAGTGATGATTTTGCCACTGTACAGGTTGACCATTTCTGGTGCTCGATAGGACAGCGTTGTGTATCTACAATCAAAAGATTCATTTTTTGTTAAATATGTCAATGATGTATAGACCAGGGGTAGCAGAAATACTTCATATATAAGCTCCCTGGGAGCAATCTGCAGAAGAGAGTATGAAATATTAGTGCAGATAAAATAAAAGGCTGTCCTTGGTACACACCCGTGGCCCTCTAGCAGCAGTCCTGCTCAACAGCATGTGGGGACCCAGACACTGCGGCATTAAATAAACTCCAAAAGCAATCTTTCTTGGGTCCTCAAATAACAAAATTTTCTCCTATAAATCCCTGTTGTTTGATATTATATTTTGCTGGTATGTTTTTTAAAGTAGTCATCCCTTTTAATGTGACTTGACACAGAGATATAATACTGGCTAGGACGCTGGAGAACAGCAGAAAATGGGCCCTGGCTGGGGTGGGAGGTGGATAGATCTTCGCTGCTGAATTAGTGAAACAACCGTTTTCCTCTAATCTCTGGCTCAAGAAAAGAAGATATGAGCTCATCTTCAATGTGTCTTGGTATTACCAAGCATGTGACTTGTGCTGCTTGAGTCGCTAGAGCCCAGAGGATACTGTGGTTTAGGTGTCCATTAGGGCCTTGGACCAGAAGTTTTCCTGCCCTAGGCTTTGTTGCCAGGGTTGTGATGCAGGAAACGAAAGAAAGGATCAGGATATGAGTGGGCATGCTAGACAGCTGATTTATTCGTAGTAGTAATAATGAGTGCTGTTGCCTGTAAAAATCCAACACTTTGGACAACAGGAAAAATGGGTCAGGTTCTTACTGGAGTCACATATCCAAAGAAGCCTTTCCTCATGGAAGTCAGTGACTCAATATCCGTAGAGACTTCAATACCCTACTCAGCCCTCCATATACTGCAGGTGAGCTCCTTATAAGAAGAAAGGAATACAAAGCAAGTTAGGGTTCAGTAAAAGTGTACCCAACTGACTAATAACATCACGGATGTTTTATTTCTATGATGTGTGTACTATTCAGCTTTTTAAGGGCAATATGACATAAATAAAAATATCTATATACAATTACCATAGGCCCATTGCTAAAGTGTATCAGAGTCATTTTACTCTACTGATCAATAATTATAAACCCCCTCCACATTCTCCAATTAAAATCAAACAAGCCAACCACCAACATAATTATCTAAGAAGAGGAACAAACTGACTAGCATCATTGTCATCCCACCCTGACCTTCTCATCCATAAGCTGAAAGCTGCTGATCTCCAAGAAAGAAGGAAAATCTTACTTCTTAATCTCATCTTCTACTGCATTCACTCCTTCAGTTTGTGGATTCTGGAATTTGTTGGTGGCGCTTCCAAAGTCACACAAGACGTAATGGCCTCGGTCATGCAAGAGGATATTTTCAACCTGAAAAACATTCCCCAACCATCCATTCCAAGATGTCATTTAGTAATGTGTGTGAAATTTTGGATCTCATTAACATAAACAATATTATTTTATTTATGATAATCCCATTAATGTGCACAAGAAAGTTATTATCCTCTAAGTATATCAACAGGGGTCATCCCAAGTGGAACAAAACAAGACGCACAGCAACAGGGAAAATTAGAGTGGAGAGGGCAAAAAGAGGCAACTCCACATGGAGAAGCAAGAGTCTCATTTTTCTATTTCCAGGCTCATTTCTTACCTCTGCAGAAACAGCCCTTATATTTTCAAGCCTTTGCATCGTGTGTGTGTGTGTGTGTGTGTGTGTGTGTGTGTGTGTGTGTGTTTAATTTATTTTAGAGAGGAAGGGAAAGGGAGAGAGAGATAGAAACATCAATGATGAGTATCATCAATCAGCTGCCTCCTGCACGCCCCACACCAGGGATTGAGCCCACAACCTCTGCATGTGCCCTGACCAGGAATCAAACCATTACCTTCCTGGTCCATACGCTGACACTCAACCACTGAGCAACACCGGCTGGGCAAGATTTTGTATCTTTTGTCATGTTCTTCTATCAGTCTTGAATGCTCTCTCTCATTCCTCACCTTTACCCAGCTATCAAAATCCCATTCCTCTTTCAAACTCCAGTTTAAATGCTGCCTCTTCTTTGAAGCCTTCTTCAAGCCCCCACTCAGACAAATATTACTCCTTCCCTATGTTCTTTCAGTACTTTGTTCTTCCGATTTGAATTATTTCACTTGGGCCTTGTAAAAACATACATCAATTTCTTTACTACAAGAGGTTAGAATTTTCAGAATTAATAAATATTTGCTATATTTTAGTTAATTCTCAAAGTGATTAAAGAGCTGTGGGAAAATGTGCAGTATTATCCTTGTCTTTTTATAGATGAATTCTTTGGGCAGTTCTGGATGGAACTTACGAAGTCCAGAACCTAGTAAAATTCTGATATCAAAGGAATCTGTCAGTGAAATAACGACTCCAAAACAACAAGCACTACTTTACTCAAGACATATTAATTTTTGGTATAGGTAAATTGAGACAGCATGAGGACCTGAGCCGGGAGCCCAAGAATACCAGATGACCAGAAGAAGAAAAACCACATAGCTGGAGAGACGCCGCTGCTAAAACCCCAAGGATGCCAAAAGGCCAGATAAGTTCATACAAGCATGTCTCA